AGGATTTCTACTTATCTTGCTAAAAACCAATGTGATTTTCTGATGAATGTTCCCGAAGCTAGTCACAGGGGAGGCGTTTGGGAGCGCCAGATCCGGACAGTTAGGAACGTCATGAGCTCTGTCTTAGCACAAGCCACAGGAAGATTAGATGACACCTCCTTGAGAACTTTTTCTATGAGGCCATGTCAATTTTGAACCAGCGTCCACTCACTACTAACACAATGAATGATCCCAAGAGTGCTGAGCCTTTGACGCCTAACCATTTGCTCACTATGAAAGAATCAGTACCACTTCCGCCTCCTGGTAGATTTGTCAGTGAAGATTTATATGCCAGAAAAAGGTGGCGGAGAGTGCAATATTTAACGGAACTGTTTTGGAGCAGGTGGCGCAAAGAATACTTGACTACCATTAGTTTGAGGCAACAATGGCACAACCCCAAAAGAAATGTTCAAGTTGGAGATGTAGTGATATTAATGGAAGACAACATTCCAAGAAATGAATGGAAATTGGCAAAGGTAGTTGAAGCCAGTGAAGACGATGATGGTTTAGTGCGAAAGGTTAAGATCCAAGTAGGTCAAAGAGATTTAGGGAACAAAGGTGAACGTCTGAGACAACTATCTTTTCTGGAGAGACCTGTTCAAAAACTAGTGGTTTTGATTAAAAGTGAGTCCTAAACTACAGTAAAGTACAAAATTTGATACAACATTAAAATGTGATATTTGAGTTTATCAAGTTACTGATTTCTGGGTGTTTCATAACAAAGGTTTATGGTTGATAGTTATTTTATTGAAAATTACAAGATTTAAAGTTCTTTAATGTGTAGTGAATTTCAATAATTGTAATTTTGGTGGCAGTATAGCTGTCGCAGTTAAATGTGGTTATTCATTGTCATTTGTTTGATTTAACTGTGGAAATATTTAATTTAATTTCCTTGTTGATTTGACGCCACCTGCTGGCTGGATTGAAATTTGACACTGGAAGGTGCGCGCGAGCAGAGCGAATGATTAACTGACACAAGCACGGAGAAGCGACCAGAAGAAGCTCACATCGGATAAAGAAAAGTGGACATGGACTGAAATTGCTTGTGAATATTAAGTGGAGAGGCGCACACGGTGTGTTTGTATATTTATCTGTATTGCATTAATATCTGAGTTATAAGTTTATGTTTCTAAAATTAATATTTGTGTTTATTGTTGTTCATTTCACCGTAGTTTTTCACGGTGTTTGCTGGTAAAAAGAAGATAAAGAACCAGTTGAACATCAGTTGGAGCATGGCGTTTTATTCCACAAAAAACAAAATATCCTTCATGAGCAATTACAGACTCCTAAGATTATTTTTTTACCCTTTGAATTTCCTTCCTATCCATTGTAAATCTATTGTTTGTGGGTTAGCTTTCTCACAAAAATAGCCAAGCGGGGTGCAGCAGTGGCAGTTGCCGAGGCAAAATCTCGGGCGTGGGAGGAGTTTGGTGAGGCCATGGAGAAAGATCGGCTCCAAAGAGGTTCTGGCAAACTGTCCGGCGCCTCAGGAGAGGAAGGCAGCAACTCGCTCACACTGTTTACAGTGGGGATGGGGAGCTGCTGACGTCAACTGAGGCTATAGTCGGACGGTGGAAGGAATACTTTGAGGAGCTCCTCAATCCCACCAATGCGCATTCCGAGGAGGAACCAGAGCTGGGAGGCCTGGGGATGGACTGTCCGATCTCGGGGGCAGAAGTTGCTGAGGTAGTCAAACAACTACACAGCGGCGGAGCCCCGGGGGCGGATGAGGTTCGTCCTGGGTATCTCAAGGCTATGGATGTTGTAGGGCTGTCATGGTTGACACGTCTCTACAACATTGCGTGGTCATCGGGGGCAGTTCCTAGGGAGTGGCAGACCGGGGTGGTGGTCCCCATCTTTAAGAAGGGTGACCTGAGGGTGTGTTCCAACTATAGGGGGATCACACTCCTCAGCCTCCCTGGAAAGGTCTACGCCAAGGTACTGGAGAGGAGGGTCCGATCGATAGTTGAATCTCAGATAGAGGAGGAGCAATGTGGTTTTCGTCCTGGCCGTGGAACTGTGGACCAGCTCTATACCCTTGCAAGGGTGATGGAGGGGGCATGGGAGTTTGCCCAACCAATCCACATGTGCTTTGTGGATTTGGAGAAGGCTTATGACCGTGTCCCCAGGGGCACCCTGTGGGGGACGCTCCAGGAGTATGGGGTGGGTGGCTTTCTGTGAAGGGCCATTCAGTCCCTTTACCAGAGGAGCGTGAGTTTGGTCCGCATAGCCGGTAGTAAGTCGGACCTGTTCCCAGTGAGGGTTGGACTCCGCCAGGGCTGCCCTTTGTCACCGGTTCTGTTCATCACTTTTATGGACAGAATTTCTAGACGCAGCCGTGGTGTGGAGTGTGTCGAGTTTGGTGGCAGGAGAATCTCGTCTCTGCTTTTTGCGGATGATGTGGTCCTCCTAGCTTCATCCAGCTCTGACCTTCAGCTCTTGCTGGGTAGGTTCGCGGCCGAATGTGAAGCGGCTGGGATGAGGATCAGCACCTCCAAATCTGAGACCATGGTTCTCGACCGGAAAAGGGTGGCTTGCCACCTCCGGGTCGGGGGAGAGGTCCTACCTCAAGTGGAGGAGTTTAAGTATCTCGGGGTCTTGTTCACGAGTGAGGGTAGGAGGGATCGGGAGATCGACAGGCGGATTGGTTCGGCGTCTGCAGTGATGCGGACGCTGAGCCGATCTGTCGTGGGGAAGAGGGAGCTGAGCCAGAAAGCCAGGCTCTCGATTTACCGGTCGATCTACGTCCCAATCCTCACCTATGGTCATGAGCTTTGGGTAATGACCGAAAGAACGAGATCGCAGATACAAGCGGCCGAAATGAGTTTCCTCCGTAGGGTGATCGGGCTCAGCCTTAGAAATAGGGTGAGGAGCTCGGACATTCGGGAGGGACTCAGAGTAGAACCGCTGCTCCTCCGGATCGAAAGGAGCCAGTTGAGGTGGTTTGGGTATCTGGTCAGGATGCCTCCTGGACGCCTCCCCGGGGAGGTGTTTCGGGCATGTCCTGCCGGCAGAAGGCCCCCGGGTCGACCCAGGACACGTTGGAGAGGTTACATCTCCAATCTGGTCCGGGAACGCCTTGGGGTCCTGCCGGAGGAGCTGGTGGACAAGGCCGGGGAGAGGACGGCCTGGAGCTCCCTAATTGGGATGCTGCCCCCGCGACCCGGACCCGGATAAGCGGAGGAAGACGAAGACGAAGACAAAAACATATTTACCTCTGCTCAGATATCCACATCAGTTGCTGTGCTTGTTTAGCTTTCAGGCAAGCGAAGGCCGCGAGAGGGTGCTCGCTGCAGAACCACAAAGGTGGAGCTGCACCAGAGTCAGCCCCGCCCACTGACTTCTTCTGGTTTTTTTTTTGTTTTTTTTATTTTGTAGCAAACTAACCTAACCCACATGAATTACGGCTGTTACTACTTTACAAATGTTAATGCTACGTTCTATGCTCCAATTAAGCAAGATAAATATAACTTGCTACGTGTCAAAGCCTGAATATATCCCGAAATGAAAAGGTTTCTTTTAGCGAATATGTCTATAGCCGCTCCAACAGAACCAGCCTAGAAGAACATTTGAGGATGAATCTTTGGCGGGCCCTGGTAATCTAGTGGCAACATCGTCACACCTAAATTTTGCTTTCCCCTCAGCTGATGTAGGTTCGACTCTCGGTGGGGTCGGCAGCTATCTATTTAGCCAGCTGAAACATTTAATTTGTTTATATTTTAGTTGTAATGTTTATTTTGTGCAAAATATTTATATCTCTAAAAGTTCTTTGAATTTGGTCGTTCCTAAACAGCATTTTAGTTGAAACTCTGCTCACAAATGGACTCACACTGGCTAAATAAACAAATAAATAGAAAAACAAACACATTAGTCATTATATTGTAAACGGTATACCAATAAATGGTTAAAAACATACTACTGGCAAGTGTAGCTAGAAAAGAAGAAAAAAGTTTGCGCCGTTACCGAGAGGTGAACCTGCGCAAAATTACATGACAAGCTGACTGCACAACCAGTTCACCACTACATCTGATAACAAGCTAGTGGCATCACATGTAATTGTCCCATCCAGTGTGTTTTTGTAGATGGGATGTATGGTTTTTCAGCAGTGTCTCAGTAGAAGTCATTTCAGAGATAATTTGTCAGAAAATTCACAGAATATCCAGATTTGAGAACCAAGACCAGACCCGCTTCGGAGGAGAGGACCAAATTGAAGCTGAGATGGGAGGAAAATGTGTGAATGAGGCCAAAAATGGCTTTGGCGTGTTTCTTATGAGGAAATGATAATATAACATGATAAAAAGTTCCAAAAGTTAGATTTTTAATTATATGGAAACCTTTACAAAAACGGTTCAGTTAACCTCTCAACTCAGTCCTCAATCCTGCATTTTAGATGATATTAGCTATAACACCCTCTTTGGTTCCAGAATGCTATTAAGTCTGACAACTAGAAGGAATTGTATGGGATTAGATTTGTGCCAATAGGATCAAGAAAAACACTTTGGAGAGCAAACAAATTTTAAGACATTGAGAGAAAAAACATTGGTTTCAAAAGAAAAACTTACTATCTGAATCAGATTCTTAAAATGATCAAGAAAAACACTTTGAAAGTCAAACAAAAATTAAGAAATTGACAGAACAAAAATATTGACCAAAGGTAAAAAACATGTTTCAAAAGTAAAACTTACTATCTGAATCAACTTCTTAAAATGAGTAACAAAGTATGTTTCCTTTTTCTGTTTGCCTCTATGTGTTTTTGTTATCAATTTCCTTAGTTTTGTTCTCGCTGCTCACAGCTTTGCTCTCACTACCAGATTTGCACTTACACTGTCTGGCTTTCTCCTTTGCAATCCCTGAGTTTTTGGTTGCAATTCTGACACAACCCTTTCGGGTGGGCGGGACTTCTGAGAAGTCCTCTCCCATAGGACAGTGGTTTCTCTTGAGTGACAGTTCAGTGACCTGGAAGTGATGTAGCCGCCCAGACATTTTTTTTCCCACCTGGTCAACAACATGAATTTTGAGCCCCAAACAGGTTATTTCTGCTGTCTGTGGTGTCTACTGAGGATCTAAAGTGAGTATTGATAACATATTTTATCTTTTCTTAGTTAATCTGTAAGTTAAGCCACTTTTTAAGTTGGTTTTAACTAGACGCTAGCTCACTAGCTAGCTGCTAAGCAAGCCATTGTGCTAGCCTCAGGACAATGGTCTACTGTTCCAGAGAGACGTATTAAAAACATATCTTAACATATTCATTACTGGTTTCATGGAATAAATTATTGCAGTTTATGTTAATAAGTTTGCTAATTTTTCAGGAACCTGTGGAACATCAGAGACTTTGCAGCTATTAGAGCTAACCTGTGTACTGCTAACTTGCTACAGAGGAAGCAGCAGAAAGCTGAGCTAACAGGCTGTTTTGCAGGTAAATACTCTTTTAGTGGAACTGCATGACTTTTATGGTATAACTCGGAATCTACATGAGCTATTGTGGGAAGACTTTTAAACTACATTTACATACAGATACATGTATTTTTTATTCCATGTTACTTGGGCGGACTAAACAAGTTCATAGTTCTGCCTGCTCCTTTTTCGGTGAAACGAATGGATTTTATGATGTAACTCTCTAGTGAATCTATAGTAACCATAGTCTGGTGACTAGTGTCTAGTTTAGCTACATTTAGCTTAGCTGGAGTAATATAGTCTAACTCTGCCTCAACTGGTGACTTTTCTACTTCATTGTCAGCCAGACAAAATGTTGCTACAAACGCCCAAGGTACTGACCCCACAATTGAAAATCATAATGTCCACATTTATTTCCCACAATCTCAAACGTCACACTAAAATTAAACTTTTAGCTCTGATTTAATTATTCCTTATTGATATCAGTTTTCCCTTTGTTGTAGGCAATCCTCGGGTGTCAGCAGGAGGAGGTGACTACCTGCATTACGGAGCACCCTGGTTCTGAGCCAGTTGCACCTTTGTGCTGCTCTTTGGGGAGGTGATGCTCAGCAGGTTAAACATCTGTAAAATTCATTTTGTTCGTAGTTTTTGTTTAGATCTCATACATCACCAGTTTTTCTTTCTTACAGACTCATGCCTCCATGTGGTCAGGTGGTGTTGGTGTGATCTGGGAGAGCACACTCATGTCATCATCTCCTTGTGCCGTCTCCAGGATCCTGATGGGAGTTCTCTGTGCCTATAAAGCAGGAGTATTTACTTCTGGGCCTGGAGGGCCGGTATCCAGCACGTTTTAGTTTTAACTCTGTTTCAACACACCTGATTTCAGTCCGCAGATAATTAACAGGCTTCTGCAGAGCTGCTGCACAGGTAATTCAACCACTGATTCAAGTGTGTTGGAGCAGGGAAACAACTAAAACGTGCTGGATACTAGCCATCCAGGACTAGAATTGAATACCCCTGCTATAAAGCCTTCCTCCCTCCTCCGGACTTTAAACATTAGTATTTTATTATGGTTTACCTGATTTAGTAAATAAATCTCAATTTATAAATTTCCTGTTTTGGTGCCTGTCCATAAAATCCTGCATTAGACACCGAAAGCTGAATGGATGCCTTTCATTCACTTTCACATTCAATGTATTTTTAAAGATACACTTGAAATTAATATCAGTTGTTTAACAGAGTGGTGCAAAATAATCGCTGATGTCATGATTTTTGCAACAACCTGACCTTCATGCAGAGAAACTCAGGAGACAATTGAGCTAAAAACAGTTTATTAAAATGTTTGACAGATGACTGAAGAGGTAACAGCTGGAGATCAGGAACCAGACGCTTCTGCGAGGAAGAGCAGAGGTTAGTAAGAGGCAACAGGTCAGGTTTTTCTTAGACTGTGCAGGTAGCTTACAGAGACTGAGAAACGCCACAGAGATGGAGCCACAGGTTTTAGTGTTTAAAGATCAGAAGGCCCTGAGGTAAAATTGAGTGTTAGTAATGACTAAAGAATGATTTACAAAAGGAAAAGTTTAGGTACTTACGGTCTGAAGTTGTAGCGCAGACGGGAGACAGCAGAATGGTGGAGAAACCACCAGAAGTCTGGGAGAATGACAGCATGAGTTGCAAGCGGGTGAGCAGAAGGTAGTGGGTAAGCCGACTGCCAGTATGGTTGTGTGATCAGGAGCTTCAAGGAAAGAATTCCCATAGATCTGCATAGAACATGAGAACGTAAGTTTGAAAAACGGCAGAGTCATGGGCTAGATATGGGTTAAAACACTGATGAGTGACCAGCTACCAGCTTTTATTCAAGGATGGTTACAGGTGTGTGAGGATGTGCCTGCCCCATGAGAAGAGTTTTTAGGTAAGCCTCTCCATGGTGCTCTGCAATGGTGACTAGCAAGGCTAAGGAAGAGATTAAAGGGAACACAAACCCAGGACTCCGACCCAAACTCCTAACAGCAACACAACGACTCCTCCCACAGGCGGTTGTTCCACGGAGCACGCAGCTGCCCGAAGTTCAGCATCAGGCTATGAGGCCAGAATTTGTGTTCCTCCGAATTATATTTGTGAAACACAGAGTGTGGATTTCCGAATGAACATGTGCATTTGTGGAAAAGGTTGTGTGACTTAATTCTTATTGAGACTGTTCTGGCCTCATATCAGGCAACCTGTAGGCGATGTAATCATACGTGGCTTCTGAGCATGCAAGTTTATTCCAACTGTACAGCGTACAATAATAATAAAGATTTATATTGTGTTGTGTTGCTCACCTTACAGGTTCTTTTAAAATCTTAACCTGTGCCTGCTTACAGCAGGTCTTTCAGGTCTTTTGAACTAGACACAGAGAGGTTCAGGCACAGGTACTTAGTCAGACTCCTGATATGATAGAGCATCCACCACCACAGACTCCTGAAATGGTAGAGCATCCACCACCACAGACTCCTGAAATGATAGAGCATCCACCACCAAAGACTCCTGAAATGGTAGAGCATCCACCACCACGGACTCCTGATATGATAGAGCATCCACCACCACAGACTCCTGATATGATAGAGCATCCACCACCACAGACTCCTGATATGATAGAGCATCCACCACCACGGACTCGAACAATAGGTTGTTTCCTGTTGACAATGTGCTTGTCAACAGGAAACAATGGAAAAAGATTACCATTAGTACAGATATTTATCCATAACCATCACTGTGGATTTATTATACAGCATATGAACTTCATGAGGTGGGATTGGTCTGCAGTAGGGCTGTGTATTTTTGACAGAATTTATTGTAGGAATATTCAATAAACAGTCCAAACTGATACTTAACATATATAACATGAGTTATCTGAACCATAATATCATGATTTAAATTTCAATGGTGGAAACAAAACCCCTTGCAAGGGTGATGGAGGGGGCATGGGAGTTTGCCCAACCAATCCACATGTGTTTCGTGGATTTGGAGAAGGCTTATGACCGTGTCCCCAGGGGCACCCTGTGGGGGACGCTCCAGGAGTATGGGGTGGGTGGCTTTCTGTTAAGGGCCATTCAGTCCCTTTAACAGAGGAGCGTGAGTTTGGTCCGCATAGCCGGTAGTAAGTCGGACCTGTTCCCAGTGAGGGTTGGACTCCGCCAGGGCTGCCCTTTGTCACCGGTTCTGTTCATCACTTTTATGGACAGAATTTCTAGACGCAGCCGTGGTGTGGAGTGTGTCGAGTTTGGTGGCAGGAGAATCTCGTCTCTGCTTTTTGCGGATGATGTGGTCCTCCTAGCTTCATCCAGCTCTGACCTTCAGCTCTTGCTGGGTAGGTTCGCGGCCGAGTGTGAAGCGGCTGGGATGAGGATCAGCACCTCCAAATCTGAGACCATGGTTCTCGACCGGGAAAGGGTGGCTTGCCAACTCCGGGTCGGGGGAGAGGTCCTACCTCAAGTGGAGGAGTTTAAGTATCTCGGGGTCTTGTTCACGAGTGAGGGTAGGAGGGATCGGGAGATCGACAGGCGGATTGGTTCGGCGTCTGCAGTGATGCGGACGCTGAGCCGATCTGTCGTGGGGAAGAGGGAGCTGAGCCAGAAAGCCAGGCTCTCGATTTACCGGTCGATCTACGTCCCAATCCTCACCTATGGTCATGAGCTTTGGGTAATGACCGAAAGAACGAGATCGCGGATACAAGCGGCCGAAATGAGTTTCCTCCGTAGGGTGGCCGGGCTCAGCCTTAGAGATAGGGTAAGGAGCTCGGACATTCGGGAGGCACTCGGAGTAGAACCGCTGCTCCTCCGGATCGAAAGGAGCCAGTTGAGGTGGTTTGGGCATCTGGTCAGGATGCCTCCTGGACGCCTCCCCGGGGAGGTGTTTCGGGCAGGTCCTGCCGGCAGAAGGCCCCCGGGTCGACCCAGGACACGTTGGAGAGGTTACATCTCCAATCTGGTCCGGGAACGCCTTGGGGTCCTGCCGGAGGAACTGGTGGACAAGGCCGGGGAGAGGACGGCCTGGAGCTCCCTAGTTGGGATGCTGCCCCCGCGACCCGGACCCGGATAAGCGGAGGAAGACGAAGACGAAGACGAAGGAAACAAAACCCAATGCACACTGCTGCCAACTAGCGGGCGACATTTAAAATGCACCAAAAACAAAGAAAATACACAAATGTTTGCATGTAAATTCTTCCAAAAATTAGATACACTGCTTCTGAAAATGGATGTAATATCTCAGGAAAAAATATCACGATATATTGCCATATTGATATTTTAGAGACACAGTTTGAGAATATCGATACAATATTACTGGGAAAATATATCGCAATATATTGTCATATTGATATTTTCTTACATCCCTTGTCTGCAGTGTACTTTGTGTACACTATGGTGTGTCTTAGCTCACCAGCTGCAGTTGATGCATGTGGCTGTGTAGCACTTCCATTGTAATGCAATGCAGTAGTTTTCAATCTAAAAAGAATGAATAAATAAACAAATAAATAATAGCTTTTAGACAAAAATATAGATTTTATGTAAAAATTAATTAAAAGCATGTATTTAACTCATTATTGATTATCTGTCCTGGATAACATTCTTTTGATGGAGAATACAGAGCACATGACAGAAAGCACATTGAATCTGATTTGTCTTGTTCTGACAAACAAATGTCAGATCTGTATACTGGAAAGAAATGTATTATCAAACACACTCACTTAGATAATTATTCAGTCAGAGTTACATCATAAAATCCATTCGTTTCACTGAAAAAGGAGCAGGCAGAACTATGAACTTGTTTAGCTCGTCCAAGTAACATGGAATAAAAAATACATGTATCTGTATGTAATTGTAGTTTAAATGTCTTCCCACAATAGCTCATGTAGATTCTGTCTGAGTTATACCATAAAAGTCCTGCAGTTCCACTAAAAGAGTATTTACCTGCAAAACAGCCTGTTAGCTCAGCTTTCTGCTGCTTCCTCTGTAGCAAGTTAGCAGTACACAGGTTAGCTCTAATAGCTGCAAAGTCTCTGATGTTCCACAGGTTCCTGAAAAATTAGCAAACTTATTAACATAAACTGCAATAATTTATTCCATGAAACCAGTAATGAATATGTTAAGATATGTTTTTAATACGTCTCTCTGGAACAGTAGACCATTGTCCTGAGGCTAGCACAATGGCTTGCTTAGCAGCTAGCTAGTGAGCTAGCGTCTAGTTAAAACCAACTTAAAAAGTGGCTTAACTTACAGATTAACTAAGAAAAGATAAAATATATTATCAATACTCACTTTAGATCCTCAGTAGACACCACAGACAGCAGAAATAACCTGTTTGGGGCTCAAAATTCATGTTGTTGACCAGGTGGAAAAAAAAAATGTCTGGGAGGCTACATCACTTCCAGGTCACTGAACTGTCACTCAAGAGAAACCACTGTCCTATGGGAGAGGATTTCTCAGAAGTCCCGCCCACCCGAAAGGGTTGTGTCAGAATTGCAACCAAAAACTCAGGGATTGCAAAGGAGAAAACAAGACAGTGTAAGTGCAAATCTGGTAGTGAGAGCAAAGCTGTGAGCAGCGAGAACAAAACTAAGGAAAATGATAACAAAAACACATAGAGGCAAACAGAAAAAGGAAACATACTTTGTTACTCATTTTAAGAAGTTGATTCAGATAGTAAGTTTTACTTTTGAAACATGTTTTTTTTTTCCTTTAGTCAATATTTTTGTTCTGTCAATTTCTTAATTTTTGTTTGACTGTCAAAGTGTTTTTCTTGATCATTTTAAGAATCTGATTCAGATAGTAAGTTTTTCTTTTGAAACCAATGTTTTTTCTCTCAATGTCTTAAAATTTGTTTGCTCTCCAAAGTGTTTTTCTTGATCCTATTGGCACAAATCTAATCCCATAGATTTGGACTGACTCTGATGGAATGGGCGGGGCTGACTCTGGTGCAGCTCCACCTTCTGGTACAGCTCCGCCTTTCTGCAGCGAGCACCACTTGGAGGCCGCTGCTGTTGTCTGCCGCCCCCGCGAATTTTCAGCCAATCGTAGTAGAGCCCATCTAGCCAATCAGAGGCAAGAAAGGCGGGATCTTCCTTGGTCACCCTAGAATTCCAAAAAACGCCAGCAGCAGCAGCTCTGTCTGTGTGAATGGCAGCAAGGGCAGGAGGAGCGGAGAGCACAGGAGCGTACTCGCTGCTGCCTTCCTTTCTCGAGGAAACACCGCACTGATGAAGGGAAGGGACCTCAGCTAAGAACTACCACACATTCCTTCATTTGACACGTTCAACAGCATCTCTCTCGTTCCTTCTGCTGGGACTTCACCCTCACGGTGGGTCATTCAATCGGGGGGACTTGCCTGTCTTTCCTCCGGAAAGCTGAATGGAAGCCGAGGGAGCTGTCGGGCTGTCGGAGGCCAGGGAAGGTAGCCCGCTGTCCGGGGCCGCAGCATCCGATGATGCGGAGACGGTTGTGGGGGTTGGCTACGGGATGGACGCAGCGGACATGGGTAATTTCTGACGTATTCTTTTAGTCCTCGTATATATACATATGTCGGTTCAGTTTTTTTCTGTTTTAGTTTTTTTGTACTATGACCAGAAAGTCCCTACTCATCTCTACACGAAGGAACTGGTAAGCTATGCTAGTAGCTAGCTGATCCTGAGCAGTTGAAGTTATGGACATACAGTAATTACAATTGTTGTGTAAATATTTGCAGTTTTATACAAAAATACAGCCCACCATAGAAAGAACAGACCTTTTGTATTAATATTAGCAGGCTGAGATAAAGCCAGGGTTGTAGCAGAGACGTCACATCACCTCCACATAAGAACAGCTATACAGGTAAACATTTTTCTGTTTTGGACACATTTTGCTTCCTCTCGTCAGCAGAAAACACTTGCTTCATTCAGTATTTCTTCAAAAAAAAAAGATAATCATTTAATGTTTCTGTGCCAGAAAAATCCAATTTAAAGAAAATCGACAACAACAAAAAAGGAAAATCTAAACCAGTTTGTTGGAGGCAGGTAGACATGCTCCCAAAATGTTTTTATGTTTTATTTTTCCAAGTGTATATTTGTTTAAACGAATAAACATGTATGGGAGATTCATAGTACCAGTACCCTTGGGCAAATACATAGAATTAACGAAGAAAAAGTTTATTATATGTGTCTTTATTTTATTTTAACATACCCAGTGATCTATGTTGGTGTGTGATGGAATGCTGACCAGATATACATCTTCTTACTAAAATAGGTGTTTTGTTTGGTTTATACTTTAATCATTATGTGAATTTGACATCAGATTTTTTTCATTAGGGAATGGGGGACGAGACATTAGTTAGGCTGCTTAGTTGCACCTGTTAACTTTTTAGTTATTGACATCGGTCAGTGGGAGTGTCAGGTAACCTTATGAGAGGTGAAGTGTGATGAGGTCTGTTTGCACTCTTTCTTATCCAACAATAGCTTTGATGACACTAACTTGTTGTAATGTGAGACGGTCACATTATGGCTGAATGTTGTGTAACATAATGAAGTATTTATTTTAAAGTAAAATGCATCAGTTAATTGTTTAGTTTGAGAGGAGCTCAGCACATTTACACTGATCAAACAAACTGTCCAGTGATGGGGATTTTGACAGTGCTAAAAAAGTAAAAATGGACTCCAGACGCCTTTCACCGCATGTGTTTTATTTTATTTTTTGCAATCTTGCTGGACCATATCTCAATCACCTTGTTTAATTTCACAAGTGTGTGCTTGCTCAACCATTTCCTCTTCTCATACGCAATGGGAAACAGGCATTGTGGGGAAGAATGGTGTTAAACATGCATTATTAAACAGAGCTTTATTGAGTCTAGTTTAAATATGGAAACAGGTCTTTTGTTTGAGCTGGCTTGGGTACATCTCTGATGTAAGTCAAGGAACTAAAATGACTTTGACGCAGCTTTGCTGCAATTGTAAGTAGATCGGTGTGACTGAGTAACCTAGTCTGTGTCTGTACTTTGTGAAATAACCCCCAACAGTTATTGCAAATTAGTAATTAATAATAAAGTTTTATTTATAAAACATTTTTCTCTAAAGGGTTTTTGTCACTTAGACACACCCTTTTAAATGTATATCTTCCCACTTCATCATCTGCAATGCATAAATTTAGTGCTGGTAATCAGTGTTGGGAGTAACGCCGTTTAAGTATAATGGCGTTTCTAACGGCGTTCTTTTATAGGTAACGGAATAATCTAATTAATTACTTTTCCCGCCGTTGCAACGCCGTTACCGTTACTGGGGACGGAAGGTTGTGCGTTACTATGTGCTTGTCGAACGTTGAGCAGCAGCGTGAGGCTTTCTGACCGCCACACTTCAGCTGCAGTCAGGGAGAGAGAGGTGTCGGTAACGCACTTACAAACACGATGATGATTGGCCGGGTGGGCGGAGACCCTCACGGTCTCAGTCGCTGCATTCTGTAGACACAACGGGAATAACTCCGTTTAAAATAACCGCGTTAATAAAAAATATTTCTTTCTGTAACGAGCAAACTAATTAATTACGTCTTCTTTTATCAAAACGTCGTTCCTGTTACTGATAAGAAAAAGCGTGCATTAAGCAGCGCGGTGTGTTGAAGCTGTCATCAGCTGATCAGGAGCTAAAGAGGTAGATGTTTAAGAGCATCACGGCCCGTGAAGAACGAGGAAGACGTGATGAATAGTCTACGGCTGCAGACCCCCCGCAGATTCGTTGCTGCAGCAGCGAATCTGCAGGTCTGCAGCCGTGCCCTTCTTGGCGTGACAGCGGGACGTCCCGAAGGTCCGCTCACCTGTTCACCGCTCAGACGTCCTGATCTTCTACCTTCCTAGATCATCCAGCTGTAACCTGCTTCTGATCATGTCTTTAGTCCTGCTGTAACACTGATGCATCAGTCTCAGACGTCATGGACGCTCAGGTGTTATTAGAACTACCTGTGTGTGTTTACCACCCAGCTTCAGCTCTTCTGTGGTTGGGTCTGACCCAAGTTAGTAAATGTACGTCCTCCATCAGATTTGTGCCTCTTCTAGTGTCATTTTAAAGGATATTTATTTATTTATTTAACCATTACTAGATTACCAGCAACAGAAATGCTAGTAAAAACACACAATTATGTGAAGCTGGAAAAATCAGAATACTGTGCAAAATTACATTTATTTCTGTAATTTAACTAGACTGAGAGACCATTTAAAGGCTCGGGAACCTTTACAGGTGTTTCTATTTGCAATTATAAATTTTAGCTGATTGGGTTTTTGTTAAATATCACACAGTGACCTTTTAATAGTCTAGATTAGTGTAATGTTCCTATTAGTAGTTCCTCCTGTTAAGTGCTTATTTGTTTAAATTATTCAGGTTTATATAAAACATTTGGACATACATTTTATTATGTTCAGTCATTAGTCATTTATATTTTACTATTGTAGTAATTCTTGCATTCTTTAATGAAAAAGTAACTAAGTAGTTACTTTTGTTGGTAATTAGTTACTTTTATGATCGTGTAACTCAGTTAGTAACTGAGTTACTTTTTTGACAAAGTAATCAGTAACTATAACTAATTACTTTTTTAAAGTAACGTTCCCAACACTGCTGGTAATGCTATTGTAGAAAAAAATGTTCTAGAACCACTTCAAAGCTGCTATGGTGAATCTACAGAACAAGCTAGGATTTGAACGAAAACGCTCACTCCTCCCCTCAGGTATCTTCCCTGAGATGCTTCTGTGGGAACTAGAGACCCACAGTGCCAGAGGAAACGAGATAGTGCCAAACACCAGTCGCCATTTTCTATGTCCAAACATATTTTGTTGTCCGTGACTTCAAATTTTGTTTTTCTTTTTGGGACTCAGGTAATTTGTCCTAAAGTTGAAGTGGTAGCAGTCGGCTGTTTCTCCTCTGATATTATTGAGCCATGAACCTTTCACACCAGTGGTGTTCTGTTGCTTAATACGCCAGTGTGTTATGAGTGGAGGACCCAGGGAGGTGCAGAAGTGTGGTGTTACGGCAAGATGGACAACCAGATGATCCAATAGTAGCTTTCAGTCCAAGACCAACCATTAGTGGAGGTCTTTAGACAAATGCGGGAGAACCACTGCATTATTTTATTTTTGTTACTTTTAATCTCCACAATAGGGCTAGGGCAATATGACCTAAAATCAATATCACGATGTATTGAGGATGCGCTGAGTCATTGGTTTTGAGATGTCAAGTGGTCACACAGGACGTGCCGCTGAGCGCTTCTTGGAAAGTTGTGCGACAGTTCCAGCATCCCACAGGACTTGAGAACAGGAAGTGGGAAGTAATTATTGTTTATACATGATCAGACTTGCCGCCGTGTTTTGTAAGACTCAAATTCATTAAAAATGGGTAAGTACGCTATTTACTTGAATATTTTAAGATCAGTAGTACTTTAACTCATTCACTGCCAGCATTTTCAGCGTTTTTTACAGTTTTTAAGAGTCACAGAATGTTGCGCGCTAGGATGATGTCAACACCAAAACTAAGAAAACAAAGAGGAGACTTACTTCTTACATCAGGAAGAATCTGTGTTTTGAGCGTTATCCATTGTTTCATAATCCGTTGTTGAATTGTGCTCGTCAGAAGCTTTTCCGGTTTGCGCCTCACTTTTTTTACAGCTGCAGCCCAAAACGATCTCCTAACACATGGATTTTCTGCTTCTTCATCACGTGACGTGTGATGTACATGGATGAAGATCAGCTTTAGAGCTGGGATGTTTGTTCTCATGGTGCGGGGGCTCGTTCCAACGCCCACACAGTAAAAAAATGCAAATGACAACTTTAGTCACGGCACGTCTGCCTCTGATGTGCCCCATGCTTTACACTGAGTCACGTTGTCATGTGACTGAAGGTGGTACAGCATCTTAAAGAGACATGAATGTCACCAACCTTATAGGAATGGGTACCTTTGACATTTGAATCGATTCGGTACTAATTCCCGGTACCTACGAATCGATACCGCTACTTAACGGTCCCAATTTTCGATACTTTTGAGTGTTTAATATTTTTAATTCTCTTTTATAATTAAATATATATTTTTCTCAATGTATAACCATATTTGATAAATATCACGATAAATAACATACAACTGTTTGTATTTTAACATCGTCCTTGTAGTTTTATAAGTTGATAATTAAACTGAAGCAAACATCTTTACTGTGAATTAAATTTACTGTGTATCTTCATTCCTTTTGCCGTCACTTTTCTTTGATTTTTCCTACTGGGAAGTTAGAATTTCCGAGGAGAAAGCAAACGCACCATTAGCTGATAACAACGGTGGCAATGGAAGCTAACATATCAAGCTAACGTTATCTTAAACAGTTTATTTAACTGCTGGAGCAGATTTAAACGATGATGACTCACACTTAAATCGTTGTCACTGGTTTCATCTTCACCCAAAGTGAAGCCAAACTTTAGAGCGCATTCATGTTCTTCTAGTCGGAATTTCGGAGTTCCGAGGAGAAGGCGAACGCACCATTAGTGAA